CCCCCCCCCCATCACCCTCAATACGCGCACCCCCGTCGCGCTGCTCATGCGTATTAAAACCAAATAGAGTGGAGAATAAACGAATAGCCGACTGGACGAAGGTGGTATATTTGTTAAACAATTGGATTTACGACTTCCTATATTTATTATTTAATCAATGTGTTAAGCGCTTTCGAAAATATTTGAAAAATAATTTTTTACGAAACAATATCGTTACGAGTAGAATTTAAAATCGTAAAGTGCAAATTTGTCAGGAATATTATAATCTCGGACGTTAATTTACCCGAGCCCATAAAAATCTACAAGCCTTATTAGGCGTAAAAGACTACCTACGGAAAGTTGGTTTTTACACTACTACAGTTTGAGTTATTAAAAAATTTATGCTTTCTCACACGAGAGTGGAAATATTAAGTCAAACATCGGATAAAGACGGCCAATAGCGAAGAAAAAGACGCGAGAAAAATGAGAAATTTTAAAAAGGTGAATTTATTTTCAATGTCTAGTTTTTTCAATAAAATTATACGTATCCATCGGCATTATTAATATTAAATAACACGAATGTTATATAAATAACCAGTCACCCATCACCAGTCCGATTCATTCGTTCAACTTTATGATTAACCCTACCATATAATTAGTGTTAAATGCACCAAAGGCAAGAAAACACTACTTGTGCGATCGCGAGCTCTCAGCTGTCGAAACGATCAACCCCCAACTGAAGTGCGCCCTTAAAAAGTGAAAAGAAAAATAAATAAAACTAGAGGGGAGGCCAAAGCTATAGACGAGAAGACGCGCACAAAGGGATGACACGCACAATCGCCTGCCCAATGTGCGCGACGTAATGGGCGAACGGGGGGGGGGTGGAGTGTGGTGAGGTGAGGAGGCAGCGGTTCCGTCGCCCTTACGATTCAGCGAGGATTTGCCAAATAGGGAGAAAGCGCGGATCCGCAAAAGAAAGCGAAAGCCACGTCTCGGCATAAAGAGTAAGGAGGAGGATAAACGCAGACTTTAAAGAGCCGGAGGCCACTCGGCCAGCAGGACTTTAAAAGAGGGAACGTAATGACGAGTGTCGCCGAGCGCATCGTCCCACTGAACAAAATGGCGGGTATGATCGATAGGGCGCCTCCCGTGCACTGCCTCCTCGTCGGCCACGAGATTGAAAAAGCGAGCTAAGAAGAGGGGAGGAAAAGTGGAGCAAGTTGCGTGTACGCGAGAGTGCGCGGCCGGGGGAGGGGCGGTAACGGCGATGGATGGCGGCAGGGGAAGGGGGCGAAAAGTGGCGGATCGTAAAATTCATGTAGATAAGTTGGGGAACGCGAGCCGCATATCGCCCGGTAAATTTGCATACCCGGGAGAGCGGCGATAACAACGTGGGGTGGGAGTAAAGTGCGCGGGGTGTGGAGGGGGTCGGGGGGGGGGGGGGGGGGGGGGGGGGGGGGGGGGTGAGGAGGAGGACGAGGTGGAGGGGCAGGAGCAGAAGGATCGCTGCTCCTCCAGGGCCTTTAATTCGGGGTGTGGCTCCACAAGATTGCGCGAGAAAGAGTAAGAGATAGAGATAGAGATAGAGATAGAGATAGAGATAGAGATAGAGATAGAGATAGAGAGATAGAGATAGAGCGAGAGAGAGATAGAGATAGAGCGAGAGAGAGATAGAGATAGAGCGAGAGAGAGATAGAGATAGAGCGAGAGAGAGATAGAGATAGAGCGAGAGAGAGATAGAGATAGAGCGAGAGAGAGATAGAGATAGAGCGAGAGAGAGATAGAGATAGAGCGAGAGAGAGATAGAGATAGAGCGAGAGAGAGATAGAGATAGAGCGAGAGAGAGATAGAGATAGAGCGAGAGAGAGATAGAGATAGAGCGAGAGAGAGATAGAGATAGAGCGAGAGAGAGATAGAGATAGAGCGAGAGAGAGATAGAGATAGAGCGAGAGAGAGATAGAGATAGAGCGAGAGAGAGATAGAGATAGAGCGAGAGAGAGATAGAGATAGAGCGAGAGAGAGATAGAGATAGAGCGAGAGAGAGATAGAGATAGAGCGAGAGAGAGATAGAGATAGAGCGAGAGAGAGATAGAGATAGAGCTAGAGATAGAGATAGAGATAGAGATAGAGAGATAGAGATAGAGCGAGAGAGAGATAGAGATAGAGCGAGAGAGAGATAGAGAGAGAGAGAGAGAGAGCGAGTGAGTGAGAGTGAGAGAGGTGAGCGGAGTATTGTAGTTTCAGGTGTGAAATACTTTGTTGGAGATATTTTTGCCTTTTCTTTTCTCGATGCTTATCGGCCTGCGTCTCAATATGAAGATTTACTCTCGATAAATTCTTTAGAAAATCTTCACGATTCTTCATACTCAAATATATAAACATTTTTTTTTTTTTTTATCAAAATTTATTTAAATCTGAATTAAATGTAAAAATAAGGTATTTTACGAAAAATAATTTAGCATGTCGGAGGCAGGCTTTGTAATTTTCTTCTTTAAATTATTTACAGACACTATGTAAAAGCGTATTTTCTTCTGTTTCTATATAATCTCGATAATTTTGTTCGTTGCAATTTCAGGATCAATGAAAATTTACTTTCGTCGACTTTATAGTGAAGCATCTACTAATACACAGATTTGTCAAATATGACTGGCTGCATATGTGATTATAAGTGACCTTAACTAGCATTTAATAATTACAAAATACACTGCAATTTCATTTTTAGCCAAAATCCGAGATTACAAACATTAATTAAGATAAACCAAGGCTTTTAAATATTTTTAAATGAATCGACATGTTTGAAAAATTCTAATGATTTTCTTTCATTTTTTTTCTTTCTTTTTTTTCATCGTTAAATGAATACGACATTGTTTGTGTAATTTGAGTTAAATTTACTCTTAAGAATTATTGATTTATTTGATATGAAAATTCGTAGTTTATAAAAATTGTAATATTATATTATGTCAATATTTACGTTATAATGCTAATATTAAAAATTAAGGACAAAAGTCAATGGCGATTATTCAA